TTTAGTCTGGTTTATTCCCCTTCCCCCCCCCCCCCCCCCCCAGGAAACTTTTTTGTGTTTTTTTTTTTTTTTTTTTTTACCATTTAAAAAAAACAAACCTTATCAGTCCAAATTTAGCACCAAAAGATGTCGTGCCTTTTATTAGGAGTTATACGAAGGTGAGTATTTTACTCGTGTCATTCAATATTTTCTGATGCAGTTCAACTAATCTGATGTTATTTATTACTATTATTATTATTTGACAGCGAAATCTGTCCACTCTGTTTACTTCCACTTATCGTCTTAAACCTTTTCTTCAAGAGTTATTGGAAACTCTTGAAGAAAAGAAAAGTGGGGAAAAAGTGATTCTCCACTTTTTCTGCGGGTTGCAGTCAGAAACTAGTCGGACTTGATTCGGCTCCACGTCAACTGACTTTCAGGAAAACAACATCTCTGTGTCTTTTGCCAAAGCAGTGAATTTGTGTTCAGTTTCCGTTCCTTCATTCATTTTCCTCATTCTCTTTACCCTCGCACGCCGGAGGCTTTGTGATGAGGCCACATCACACAGGAAGCCTGCAGTGAAAGTGAGCAACCAGTTCAAATAGTGTGTGCTTTTACTTCATCTCTAAAGGTGCATGCCAAAGAGACACTGACACTTTGTGTGCAGCGTGTGTGTGTGCGTGTGTGTGCGTGCGTGCGTGTGTGTGAGTGTGTGAGCATCAATGGGGCATTCTGTTTGTATTTCTGCCTGAAGGCCTGTTGCCGAGTGCAGTTGTCACTAGAAGCGAAATATAATTCAGCAAGTGTGCATGTTGTCTGCTGTGACGCTGCTGCTTGCCTCAGACGCCTCAGACTCTGGCCCCTCGACGTTCAACCAGGATCTGTCAGGCAGGGGTGGTGAGGTGGGAGAGGAGGTGTGTTGGCCTGCGTTGTGTGTGGATTGGCTTGTCGAATCAGAGGTGTGCGTTTTCAAGGAAACGTACGACTGAAAGCATGATTCCATGTTTTCCTTGCTGAAAGTCTCGTTTACCTCCTGCCATATTATAACCTCGTTAATCTTGCAAAATGTGCCATGAGGCGACATTCTTCAACATATCTGGTCTGGGATGGGAAATGGGTGGAGAACTGGAAGCAGTTTTGAGGAGGGGTGGGGGAAACTAGTGCAAAGGTCACCAGCTTGAAAAAGACGCAAAACCTCTTAAAAGAAGAAAGAACAAAACGACTAATCCAGTCCTATCAGATGTACACCATGTAACTCTAATTTTTAACAAGCTTCTCTAACAAATTTAAGTCAAAATCCAATCCGGGTCATTTCCTTTCTCAATCCGAGACACAGTCATCATAATGTTTAGCTATACCTCACCAGTTACAGTAATTAACAGCATGACAGGAATAACGTGGATAACTGATTGCCTGTGTGGTGAAAAGACTGACTCACTGCAGATCTGACTGAAGAGACTGTTTCATCCAGAATCACACACACACAAAAAAAGGCGAACAGAGGGTCTTTATCCTGAAGTTTTCTGGGCAGGGGTCTGTCTGTCTGTCCTGTGGATCAGAAGACAGTGGCAGGTTCTTTTGTTCAGTTTCCACTTCACTGATCTGTGATAGATCTGCTCAGCTCAATGAATAATTAAATATGCAGGTCAATATGTGAAATGTCGGGGTGCTACGATGCGTCCGGCTCAGGAGACGAAATGAGACAAAAGGAGGCGAGGTAAAAGCAGTAGTTTGTGAGAACAGGAAGAACTGTCATAAAAATAAAACCAAATCACTAACAGCATAAAGATTTTGCTAATCGCTAGTTGTGTTCAACATAGAACTACAGAGGAACTCACAAGGGTTGGAGCTCAACTGTGCTGAAATCTGTGAATATGTGAGACCCTCTCTAAAATAATTTATAACTATCATTCCAAAACCAAATGTACCTAAATATGCATTAATACACTTAAGAGGAGACACTAAATTTGCTGTCTCTGCTTCTGGGGGTTCAGCGCTAAGGAAAATCAACAGCAATCCTGGATTTTCTATTTTGTAAATGCTAGCCAGTATCAACGTACAAAGGTGTTTCAGCTTCCCAAGCTGCAATTTCTTTTAAATATTTTAGACACAATGGACCACAAATAGTATATAGTTCATCTTTGATCAGCTTAAGGACTAAAGATAACCAACTGCAGTCTAGGTTTATAAAACAAATTCAAAATACCCCCTTAGAAATGTTCAGTGTTGTTCTAACCTTCCCAGCTAGAGAGCAGCTATGTTCTCACAGCTTCCAAATCATTTGTGTTCACTCTGTAGCCACTGTTTTTTTTTAAATACTGAGTACCCAATAAGCTCCCACACAAACAATTTAATTGTGTTGAAAGTTCATTTTGTGCTTTTCTAACCAAACATTGTTGGCCTGACAACAAATCATTAGTGGTTTTTATTTAATTCAGCTCATTGGGCAAGACAATGGACAATATGGGGTTTAAGAGAACAACATAAGACTTAAGCAATATTTTAGGGAAAACTAAAAATACTTTATTGTTTTTCTGTTTTCACAACTTCAGTTAAAAAACAAAGCGGTGGGTGTTGTGTGCTTGGAGGAAGATCTTAGCAGCTGTCTTGTGTTTTGTAGATTTAGTTTATGGCCAAATATCAGCAAACCTGCATGTCTATCAGCCCCACCTATCTGAGGTCCAAAGGTAACCCATCTAGGAACATGCTCAAATATAAAAATCAAATGGCGAACACGACAGTATATGGTACACGTGGAACATTCAAAGTCGGTGTTTTCATTGTGAACATTCATTGGTTCAACTCCCAGCTGCGTACACCTATATAGACCGATGGTCCACAACCGACGGTATTCAGAAACCAAAAAAGGGTTTATCTTCTTGCCGACCACCTCCTGCGCTCCAGCTGCTTGATGTAACTTCCAGTTTATCTCCAAGATAACAAGACCAAAGATGGACACTTCCACTCTGAGTCTTGTGGCACATTTACTTGCACTCTCAGCACAAGCTTGACTGTGTTGATGATTAATTGCTCTCACGTCAATGGTTAAGCAATTCTCAAAGCACAACTTCAAAGAAGGTTTTGGCCTCCACTTTATTAACTAGTTTCTGGTTCTTTGCTCTCGCGCTGTGATGACACACGTTCATCAACATACCTGCCGCACGTACACTTTGTATGTTCAGACCAGATTTACGAGTTTAACTGCATGCATTTATTGAAGTATTTCTGTGGGCCTGGTGTTCGCTTAATAAACACTCAAAGACGCCACCTGGGAGTCACGTGCCTGTGTTTGACCAAACATCCCTGAAATGAAAGCTTGGGACTTGTGTTGCCTGTTAAACCAGCTAAACTTTAAATTTTGTTGTAATAGTCATCTTTAATTGCTAATGGCTACTGAACATACAAAGAATAAGCAACAACATGGAGTCGGCCACGGCAGAGCAGATAACACTGTATGTTCTGTGGTAGTGAACAGGCAGAAGGTACACACACACACGCACACAGGTGTGTGTTTTACCAGTAAACATGGCAACCGCCACTCACTGGCTCGTGTACATGAATATTATGCTGCTGACAAACAATAGCTTGGCTCCCCCACAGGCCTCTCTTTGTCCACAGATGTCATTATGAGGTTTTCAGCCCAAACTGAAAAAGACCAATCCACCCTTTTTTTCCCATAAAGCAGTTCAAGACACAGCTACCCCTGCAGTCACATGGAAATATTAGATTACACTTGGCAGCCCTAGAAAAACAAGTACATGGGAAATGTCTGTCCACTCTCAGGCAGAAGGATACATCTGTGACTCGACACAACAAGTTTCTTCTGAAACACGAGGTGTACCTTATAGGAAGGGAGTCTCTGTATGGCAATGAGCAAATAACCAGGAGTAGTTGATCGCTACCTCTTCATTAAAGTTTAGTCACTTTGAGTCTAAGCATGGTGTTCTACTCTTACAGGCAGGGTGGTGTTGGGGCCAGTGTCGGGGTCCGGTCTCTGGCCTCCATCCCTTCTCTACCACCTGCCGTGGCTGATTTTGTGAAGGGAGCTGTGGATGAGTGCAAGCCCGCCAACGTCCACGTCGTAACCGGTACTCCTGAGGAAACGGCCAACATCCTGGCCGAACTGGAAAGGGACGGCATGGTCAAGAAGCTTCCCAAATACGAGAACTGGTAGGAGTTGCACGAATGATCGGCTGATCTTCCTCGATAGCTTATTCTGAAGCGGTTGTTCTGCAGCTAAGTTTTCTATTTGGCAGTTGGTTGGCCCGTACAGACCCAAAGGATGTGGCCCGGGTGGAGAGCAAAACTGTGATTGTAACCAAAAACCAGAGAGACACCATCCCCATCCCTGCTGGAGGGGTGAAGAGCCAGCTGGGCAGCTGGATGAGTGAGTCGGACTGGCAGAAAGCCAGACAAGACCGTTTCCCAGGGTGCATGGCTGGTAGGTTGAACGATGCCTTTAACCTCACTTCTTTGCCACCTTCAACTTTTTAAGTTTTCATTTTTTTTAAAGGGTTTTCTTTGGCTCAAGTTCATAGCAAAATGAAAGGACAGTAATTTGTGAGAGAAGGGAAGACATGTGGGAAAGGTAAATGATGCAGGACCCGTGATTGCTGCGTAAAGGACTGAGGGCTCCATGCAAGGGTCATGCACTTTACCTGTTAGCCACTGCCGGGCCCACGTTCAGATTTTGAAGGATATTCCACAATAAACAACCAACTATATGGTGTTTAAAAATCATCCTTACAACTCTAAGCAACTTTAGTCTTTCACCCTCAGTATCTCTGTATGTTTGAACAGATGGGTACTTTGTCCTTCTGGTCACATCCATCAATATTGCCATTCAGTTTTGTTGCTTCATAGGGGCTAAAATTGATCCTTCGGAATGTTTAAAATTAATACTAAAGTTTGTTTCGTAAGGCAACAAAACCTTTCCTGTTTACACTTGTGTAGGTTCAATTCTTGTCTTTATTGCACTTTCCTTAACTCAAATCTTGGTTTTGTTTTGCACTTTATCTATGGTCGAGATCCAGCAGTTTGGCATCATTTTTTAAACTGCTTTCAGTCAGTTTAGAAAACAGTCTGAAGTTTTTTATTTCATGTGCTTAGATGAAGCATTGATGCTTTATGGTATAGAGACAGGAACCCACACGTGAACTTCTGAGAACTTTACATGATATGGAGCAATATTTAGTCCTTTAATTCCTTTGGCATGCTTATTTAATAGTGGTTGCTGTTGTAAGTAAGTCTTCTAGTGAAATAAAGTATTTGTAATGGTACAAGAGGCCATGAACCCTGCTCTAACATTAAAGATACAAGCATTACTGCCGACATTTATCAGAAATAATTTGGAAATCAGCAACCCTAATGTGTATATTTACCTCTGGGTTCCCCTTGCAGGTCGGACCATGTATGTGATTCCCTTCAGCATGGGACCTGTTGGCTCAACACTAAGTAAATATGGCGTCCAGGTACTATCTGTTCTCTAAATGCCTTGTACTCAGCAAAAAAGCCTGCAATAAAACAATAACCCTGCTGTTTTTTTTTTTTTTTTTTTAGTTGTGACTGTTTGTGATGTTAGACTTTATTGTTGTGGTTTATGTTACAGCCTAATTAGAATCTGTGTAGTTTTATGGTTATTGCCCAGGGATCTTGTCGTGAACACGTTGCGGATCTTTCAGGTGACAGACTCGCCGTACGTCGTAGCCAGCATGGGGATCATGACGCGCATGGGCTCCCCTGTTCTGCAGAAACTGTACGAAGGACAAGAGTTTGTCCGCTGTCAGCACTCATTAGGACGACCTTTCCCGCTCAAAGGTACTCAAACGTTCTCACGGACTGAATAAGTTCAGGTGGGATGCGTTTGTGTTTACATTCACCTTTCTAAATCTCTCATCCTCCAGCTCCTCTGGTCAACTCTTGGCCTTGCAACCCAGACAAAGTCCTAATATCCCACCTGCCGGACACCAGGCAGATTATGTCCTTCGGCAGCGGTTATGGAGGAAACTCTCTCCTTGGGAAGAAGTGCTTTGCCCTCCGCATTGCCTCTCGCATCGCCAAGGATGAGGGCTGGCTGGCTGAGCATATGTTGGTGAGACCAAAAAGAAAAAAGATATTACAACAGTGTCCATGCACTGTGGAACCTCTTTTATCTTTGTTCACAACTCTTTTCCATCTCCAGATCCTTGGAATCACCAACCCTCAGGGCGTGAAGCGCTACGTGGCGGCGGCCTTTCCCAGCGCCTGCGGTAAAACCAACCTGGCCATGATGAAGCCTGCTATCCCTGGCTGGAAGGTGGAGTGTGTTGGGGACGACATCGCATGGATGAAGTTCGACAGTCAAGGTGAGCGTGAGCCTATCAAGATACACACTGACGCCATCCCTCATGACCCTGTGTGTTAAATCGAGCTTGTCGGGTCTTGGTAGGCAAACTCAGGGCCATCAACCCAGAGAACGGGTTCTTTGGAGTCGCTCCGGGCACTTCGGACAAGACCAACCCTTACGCCATGGCCACCATCTCCAGGAACACGGTGTTTACCAATGTTGGCGAGACGAGCGACGGAGGAGTGTGGTGGGAGGGGCTGGAGCCCCCCGCAGCTGGGGTTACGCTCACCGACTGGCACGGCAAAACATGGAAACCAGGTAGAACCAGACTCGGATATTCAAACATTCTGATTGTAAAAGACCGATAAATTCTCCTAAATCAAGCTTTTCTACACACTTTTATGAATATTACTAGTTCTGCCACAAAGTTTAGTTTAGTGAGTATAGCACCATCTTGTGGTGTACTAAAGTAATGTCAGTTCCAATTTTAAAAATTGAAGAATGTAATATACAAACGTAATATAATGTAATGTACAATCTTTCTTATTTGCACCCAGGAAGCTCCACACCATGTGCCCACCCTAACTCACGCTTCTGTGCCCCGGCGGGTCAGTGCCCCATCATTGACCCCCAGTGGGAGAGTGAGGAAGGGGTTCCCATCGACGCCATCATCTTTGGAGGCAGAAGGCCTGAAGGTTTGCTCTATTCATATAGAAAACACACTATATAATTTAGAACAATGAAGCATTTATTTATTATGTAGGAAAGAAAATATTATTTTAAGACTTTTTTTCAGCAAAACTGCTGCTACTCTTATAAGTAATTATCTATATACTCATACTAAAAGTTATTTTTTTCCAAATATTTGAAATTTTGATAACATTCAAAATTTTCCATCCGCATAAGAAAACCATTACAGGCCAAATTTAATCATATTGTACTTTGGTACATTTAATAACATTTCAAACCCAGCGCAGCATTGAACATGAAGTAATGCTGATGTTTGCAGGAGTCCCTCTGGTCTACGAGTCGTTCAACTGGCAACATGGAGTGTTTGTTGGAGCTGCAATGAGATCAGAGGCCACAGCAGCTGCAGAGCATAAAGGTACATGTCTTTACCCACCTGACTGGTAAATTGGGGATTAATAATGCTGCACATCCATAAAAAGTCTTACATTATTGTATTTAGGTCTTAAATTTTATTCATAATGGTCTTTAAAAGTCTTAAATTGGAACCTGCTGAAACCCTGCACTGTTATGTAACCTTTTCCCAGGCCCTTTTTTTGATTGACTGTTATTTTGCTCTTCCTCCAGGTAAGGTGGTCATGCACGACCCGTTCGCCATGCGTCCGTTCTTTGGCTACAACTTCGGCGACTACCTCGCCCATTGGCTGAGCATGCAGACCAGGAAGGCCCCCACCCAGCTGCCCAAGATCTTCCACGTCAACTGGTTCAGAAAGGACCCCGCCACCGGCGCCTTCCTCTGGCCCGGGTTCGGAGAAAACGCCCGCGTGCTGGAGTGGATCTTCAAGCGCTGCGGCAGAGAGAGGGAAGAGGAAGCGGCCAAGAAGAGCTACATTGGCTGGTTGCCAGAAGATGGCGCCATCGACACCAAAGGTCTGGGCAGCAAGGTGGATATGGGCGCCCTGTTCGATGTGCCCAAACCTTTCTGGCAGAAGGAGACGAAGGAGCTGAGAGCGTACTTCACTCAGCAGGTCGGTGCTGATCTGCCTGCTCAGGTGGAGACAGAGCTGAAGGCGTTGGAGGACAGAGTCCACGCTTAGACGAGCCAGGGACAAGAAGCTAATCCAGACGAAGAGAGGCACTCAGGAAATGGGATTCATCAGGGTCAGTTAGAGTCTATGACTGGGTTCACAGGCGCAGAGGAGATCATGTTAACTGAGAAAACAGCTTTTCCTGTGATAAATGAAGACATGAACAAGTTTTTAGATCAGATGATTGAACCTTCTCTGTGCCTGTGAACACAGTTTGTTCTCAAAAATGCAATAGCTACGTTTTGGACACTATGAATGCTGCAACAGTTGCGTAAAGGTGGCTCAGTTTGCAGTTCAACTTGTACCTACTTTCAAAAGCCACGTTCACTCTGTAGATCTCGATGCTCAAATCTGATTTTTTTCTGGAATCAAATCTTTTTGTTTTGTTTTTGTTTTTGCACAGCCTTTCATTCCATTACTCTTAAAATGTTGCCCGTATTTGACTTCTGTGGCGACTGTTCGCGGTTACAAATTGACCTGCATGTGCAAAACAACGATAGCGTCACACAGCAATCTTTGGTGGAGGAAACATGAAAAAAAAAAAAGTGTATTTACTTTAATGTGCCAGCAGGCACTGAGAAGGAATCGCACCAGTAAAAAGAGAGCGAAATTCAGCATTTTGTTTGGGGCGACACATCACTGTGACGTGGAGATGCTGGAAAGAGCACTCAAGAAAATTGTATGAGTCAGATTCAGCACCACATGTAGACTCACACTTATTCTAAAAAGTCTGACCTGGTAACTCGACCTCCCACATTCATAAAAAAAAAAAAAATCAGGTTTGAGTCAGTTTGCCTGCAGTGTGAACGTATCCTTAGAAGGACTCTAACATCACTACCTCCGTCCACACATACCTGCCGGCATGTTGCTGACGTCCAATCAGGGTGACCGTAAAGTGCCTTTGTAGAGTTTACAGACTGAAGACCAAAGAGCTTTTTTTTAAAGAAAGTTTTTACTCATTTAAAGTTGTTTATTTAAAACAAAAAAAAAACTAATGGTGTCATAAAATGCATTTTAATATTAAGTTAAGCTCAACTTGATGAAGATGTCTGCTAACTCCTCACTACAGTTTTTTTTTAAGATTTCTACAAATTATTCTCTCTGCCACTTGTGTAATGATTGTGATTAAACGGTATGATATCAAATCTCGGCTGATGTTTACACTCAGTTTGTGAAAAGTCGGACCAATAAATGCCTCAGAGATTATCAGGTGTTTTCAAGGTTTTTTTTTTTTTTTTTTTTTCTTTTTATAAAAGTGGAATGTATAAGAATCTTAACGTGTGGAAACAGTGACTTGAAAAATAAATGGTGCCTTTTGAAAACATTTACTGTTTCATTTCGCTTTTTGTCTTTAAAACATTAAATAACAGGCCAGTGGAGTTAAACAGGCGGATGTTGGGTTCATAACAACCATCTGTCACTTCATCTACAGATTTGCAAGCTTATGAACCCAAAATAGAAGCGCTGCAAATATTTCCTGCAAATAACAGAAGTAAACTAAAAATTAATAGAGGAACTGAGACCTTGTTTTTGACAATCAATGATAAACTTCATTAGACAGCTATATAACAAAACTGAATAAATATATTGGAATATCATCTAAAAGTTCATTTGAATCAGAATTTTTGTTCAAAATAAATTGCAGATAAATTGAAAGTTTTAGGTCACTTATCAATAATTCAGTTTAAATTCCTTTTTGCTTTTTTTGCTTTTTTTTTTTTTTTTTTTATAAATACGCAACCAACGTTCAAGACTTCTTTCTAGATTTAGCAAATTGTTTATGTCACCACTAATAACATGTAAAGTGATCCAAACAGTTACCCCTCCCCATTTGAGAAAAAAAAAAAATAAAAATCAAAGCAGCAAACAATGCCCTCCTCTTTGTGAATATTTGTCAGGAAGAAACAAAAGAGATCCAAAGACGTGCAGGAAGGAAGCCCGGTTCGGAAACTGACACAAACTAAAGAGCCCGGGGAAGACTGTCGGTCTCACCAGTAAGAATGAAACCAGCAGATATTTCTACAGGTTAATGTTAAAACAAACAAACAAACAAAAAAAATTAACATTATTAATCCATATCTGGGTTAAATAGACTAGAATTACTAAAAATATTAACTAGGATAATACTTTTATAGAAATAAAATCAGAGAACAAAGGTATAGATTGGAAGCCATAACTATTAAAGTCACAGAATCTGCTGGTTGTGACAGATGGTTGCTCTCTATTTCCTCACGCTTCCTTGGACACAGAACATTTAAACATTTGGAATAATAAACTGAACTAGTCTGCATTGTTTTATAATTATGGTTGAATAGGAATGAATATAACTGACTTTGAATCTGTCTGAATCAAAGATACTGTTAACAAATTGGATTAGATTTTTGCCTTGAAACATCTGCTGAGAAACGACGCGATGTAATTAAACTTAACTGAATTTAATTAAAAGAAACCTATAAACAAAAAACAAAACACAAACCATAAACCGATGGGTAATAATAAAGACATTGAGAAACACTGAAGTATTTATTTAATAGCTAAAGTAGTCAAAACTGAAGGAGTATCTTATGTTCACTTTCATAACATCAGATGAAGAAGAAATCTTTTACACTGACAATGGTCTGAAACTGTCTGGGTTGCTGGAAAGTGACGTCATGCATGAGGGCTAATTATTTCATACAATAATGAAGTCAAAGCTGATAAATCCATGAGAGTTGAAGGGAAAATTCAGGATCCATGATCATTTATCTGTGAGCAGAAAAAATAAGAAATTCTCTCCTGTCTTTACAGGAACCAACATCTCTATAAACAAAAAGAAATCACAAAATGGCAATTTCATCATCATCATCATCATCATCATCATCACAGAGATCCTTTGGACTGTCAGCAAGCACTTTAACCTGTCCGCACACTGTCTCTGGCCGCCCGCTGTCCTGCACTGAGAAGGTGGAAATTTCAGGACCACTCTGGGTGAAATTCATATTTCCATCTTGGAGTCTTTCTTTAGATTTACTGGCTGACATGTGGACGTCAAACTCCATACCGGGTTGACTCTGTGGACAAATAATGTTTCTTAATCAGCTGGAATTTTCTTACACTAGTTATAAGGTTAGGTATTCACAGTGTTCTGCTGCATCCTGACGTTATATGTTACTTTATGAGACATCACCGTGTTATTTAAATAATTTAAATCAAAGTTTCATTTTATTGGGTGGACTTAACCTGGGAATTAAATTTTCAATGCTCTATGAAAACGTCTACTTTTGTGGATCAAAATTCTACACAATATTTTTAGCCAACCACTTCCTTATTACTAGAAAAAGTAGATCCACACCGAATAAAAACTCATGCAGAATGACTGGAATGATAACAAAAACTTTTTAGCTTTTATCGTGAAATAAAAACGAGACAGGCAAATTTGTATTGAGATGAAATGGATTCAGGTTTTAGTCGTGAAAATGCTGCGCGAGTTGAAATAATAGCCAGTGAGAGTTAAATTAAAGGTGGACCCAGGAAAAGATGGCAGTGCACCAAGACTTAGTTGATTGAAATGAGAGCAAAACTGGAATGCAAAAAACTGAACAGTAATTAAAACAAAATTACATATTACATAATATGTGATGCAAACTTAAATAAGGTGCTGTGATAATTACAACCGTCTGTGAGTGCCCCCAAGTGGTCAGATAAGTAGCTGCAAAATTAATCAGACAGAAAGTTGTTCTGAAAGTTTTATGGTTACTTTCATGCATCCAGCATCCTGAGGTGTGTAATGCATAAGCATAGCACAGCATGAGATGACAAAGTGTTATTCCTACCACAAATATGTAGTAGAAAGGCTTATCTGGCAATCAGAAAAGGCTTGAATGTTAAATGTTTTAAAAGGTGGTGTGAGAGTGTCTAATTGAAATGAAATGCCAAAACAGATTTGTGCTACCGGTGTGTTAATCTTTATGCAATTTGCATTACAAATCAACAAGTGAGAACTCACTGCAGTGCTGTAGGCAGAAGTTGACAATTCCTCCAAATGAGTCTGTTGAGGAGCTGGACGATTAGACTTAATGAACCTGGAAGAAAGATTTCAGAACAATTCTGCTGTATTTCAGGCGACGGCACAGTTAGATACACAGAGAAGCAAACAGTAGGGCGTTAACATCAACTTCAAATCTCATATAGCAAGAAGCGGTGCATGAAGTGAATATAAATTATTACAAAAGAAAAGCTTAAATTGGAAGGGAATCAAATGCTCATCTAGAGACATAGTTGAACACAAACAGCCAAATAAGTGAGATGATCGATGTCTCATACTCACCGAAATAAAGCACCCAGGCAGATGATGAGAGCTCCTCCAACTAGAATGCCCATCCATATTATATATCCAGATGACAAGCCTCAATGAAATAAACAACTTCAATGATAAGAGTAAAAGCAAAAAAGGTTTGAGGACATATTAAAATGATTATCTATTTATTGTAGATAAATATTTACCTTTATAGCTAAGATGGATCACTGATGATGTCTGATTCCCCAGATCATTTGTAGCCGCACAGTAATATTCTCCCCGTTTAGTAAAATTGAAGCCATAAACTGGCCCCACAGACACATTAATGTCTCCATGTTTGCTGATCCTGAACCAGGTGAATCTGGGTGGAGGTTTGGCTCTGCTGGAGCAGCTCAGCTCCACCCAGCTACCTGCTGACACCAAACCTGATGGACTGATGGATGCTGAGGTGTTTCTAGGAGCATCTGAGGAAAATGAGACACATGAACTTTATTGATCACAAACAGCTGAACCATGACCTGCTGACAGGATCACTTACATGAAACACTGAGAGTCACTTCTGTCTCTGCTGTCTTGTTTCCTCCAATCACAGGATATCTGGCAGAACATGTGATGTTGTATCCATCATGTGTGTCTGACAGAGTGATGTTCTCCTGGATTTTAGTTGTAAAGGTTCCATCTGTGTTTTTCTCTGTTTTTCCAACAGAGTCTTGTTGGAGATTCCAGGTGAGTTGAGGAGGTGAGTGTGGACAGGGAGTGAAAGCTGAGCAGGTTACAGTGACAGACTGATGCTCCTTCAGGTCAGAGGGAACATTAATGCTGGGACTCCAAGGAGAATCTGAGGATTACAATTAAACGAACAAGGTAAAATATTGTCTACACTTTTTTGTAAATGAGTGAGGTGAGTTTATCTATGAGTTTAACTAGAATATCTCCAGCAAAAATTGTAGATCATGATCTAATGAAGACAAGAGGACCAGATCATTTGAAAAGAGCAGAGACACAATCCTCTGGCCACCAAAAAAGGAACCCCTTAATGTCTTGGCTGTGCCTAGAAATTCTGTCCATAAAAGTTATGAACAGAATCGGTGACAAAGGGCAATTTGTCATCCTTTGTCCTTGTGGTCACCAGACAGGAGCCTAACTTACAGTCGGCAAAGCAGAATAAGATGTGATGCCAGTCAAACAAGAACCTAACAGCACCTATCAAAGGGCCTGATACCCCATTCTCCCATAGCACCCCCCACTTGGCTCCCCGAGTAACATGGTTGATTGCTTTCTCTAAGTCCACAAAGTTAATTTAGACTGGTAGGACCTCTGTAGTTGGAACACACTCTGTGGTCTCCACTGCCACTGCAGGAGAACTGCCCCGATGTCCACATAATACAGTGGTGGATGATCAAGTCACCAGGGAGCTTTTTAACCACCTTGGTGACCTCTGTACCAGAGATTGGTCCCCTGGCTCAGCTTCTTCAGTTGAACACATCCTGGTGAGACTGAAAAGGTCTTTGAAGTATTCTGCTCATCCACCCATGACATCCCAAGTTGAGGTCAGCAGCACACCTTCCCTCATCATAAATAGTGTTGGTGGTGCACCAACACTATTTCCTCCCAGAGACGTTGGACGGTGGACCAGAATTGCCTCAAACCCGTACTGAAGTTGTTCTCCATGGTCTCTCAGAACTCCTCCCACGCCCAAGGTGACCATAGATCCATGCCTATGATTGCTCTTCCCAACCGTACCTCTCCTGGTCTCACTGTCATTGCCCTTGAATATTGAAGTTCACCAGCAGAATAAGGGAGTCCCTAGTAGGCGCGCTCTTCAGTACCCTCTCCAAGGACTCCAAAAAAGGTGGGTAATTGGAAATAATGTTTGGCAATTAAGCACAAACAGTCAGAACCCGTCAGAAAGAAGCTACCCTCTCATTCACCGGGGTGAACCCCAATGTACAGGTATGAAGATGGTGGGCAACAAGTATACCCACTCCTACTTGGCACCTCTCAGCAGGGGCAACTCCAGGGTGGAAGTGTCCAACCTCTCAAAGAGACGAGATCCAAGGCCAGGAGTCCATCTGAGTCCGAGTCTGACTCAACTTCCTCCCCACCAGAGAGGTGTCATTCCACGACACTTTCTTTATGACTTTATTAATTATCCAAATTAATTCATGTTATATACTATTTTGTATGTATTATTTTTTTTTTACCTTCAACTGTTATTTGAAGAGGCTTGGCACAAGCTGTTGCTCTGAACTGCCCGTTCTCGACTCTGAAGAAGTATTTGTCTGTATAACTTGTGTTTAAGTAAGGAAACAGAGTGGTGCAGTTCTTCTCTCCCAGGTTTCCAATCATTTTCAGTGGATAGGTGTTAACTGACTCACTGCTGTTGAAAATAACTACGTTCTGATTAAGAGAAAATTTGAGGCTCTTTTTCATCCAAACTCCATAGACAGTCCTCCTGCTATCAAATCTTTTGTGCTTTGTATTAAAGCTACATGGAATTTGCAGACAAGATCCAGTCAGAGCTTCAATCTTCTCTGGTGCAGTGATGAAGAGCGTCGGTGGTTTATAACAGTTGCCAGTCAAAACCCCTACAAAGACAGACAAATGATCAACATTACGTGGAGCAAAACCCGACTGCAATGTCGTCTAACTTCAGTTCACCATGAGGAGCTTTTAAACAATATCAGAACCAAACATTTCACACTAGAAATGATTCATGTGATGTCTCTAAATGTGAAGAGAAGCAAACAAACATCTCACCTGGAAGAAAGAAGACACTCAGTAACATGCTGACTGTCAGCATGTTCTCAGATTGAGCTGCCATTGTAATCTGATAGACCACTGTGTTTGAAACAGAAATGACAAACCTGATATATATGTAAAGTTAAAATGACAATTAAAATAATCATTGGATTAACAGTTGCATTTTACAAACTAAAAAATGTATATCATTAATTGAAAAAATGGAGAAAAGTTCAATTTATTTTGCATGAATTCAGGACTCTGGTTTCAGCTAAAAGCAGATTAATTAGTCCATCTTCTGACACAAAGACAGGACGTTTTATGACTAGTAGTTCAGCAAGTTTTACCCAGAAAGCTTTTAAATAGGAGAACTCTGAAATCCCACTGTTTTAAAGTGATTAAAATAATGACGTAAAGTCAGTCTGGCCGGCCGTCTATTAATGGCCAAAATGAATAAAAATCTCCAATGGAGAGTGACCAAGAGGCATCCTGATCAGACTCTGAACTTCCTCTGCAGACATGTAAGAGAAATTGCTCTATTTGACAAAGCCTGGGTTACATTCTTTCAGACAAAATTATAATTGTACAATTGCAAGATTGGTCATTAACCTTTGGCTCAAGATGGCCTGGTGTGTGTTTAGCACTAACATCCAATAACCGAACATCTTTCAAATCCAGATCGGCATTGGCCACACGGGAATGAAAGTCCTTCAGCGTCCTAAGATGGCACCATCTAGAGACTCCACAAAGGCCGGGTAATCTGATGTACTGTAGTGTTTGCTGTATTTTCCCTCTTGCAGCTCAGAACAATCAGGCGACCGTCTGGCTCAAGAGGAAAAACTCTCAGCAGAGGGAATACTCCCACACCCAACGTCTTTCTCCATTGACAGCTCCGGAGTAGGAAAAGGTCTCGTCTTGTGACAACATTCATACCTCCTGAGCTTATTTCACATTTCTTTCACTGCACATTTAACTGTTTTGTATTGGACCTTTATGTGGCACACCATCACAAAGTAGCACCTAATTCTTGTGCTCAATGAAACACAATCAAGACGGTTCCTGTTCTATAACGAACTGAGTCCAGAGCGTTGAAAGAAGGTTGACTGAGCTATCTAACACGTCAGTACGCTCTGATCTCTACTGGCTGATTGGGGATGTTGTCCTGATTGGAGGATGACCTCCACCCAAGTCTCAACTCCTCTCCAACCTCTAATCATTTTTGCTCCCTTTGTGTTATCTTGCACAGCTCCATCATGTTCACATGGCAGGATTTTTGCAGTTGAGGTAAACTCATTTCTTTTGCTTTCTGCCTCCAGTTTTGCATCGATGCCAGCATCTTGTCCTTTAAGATTATGCTGCTGATCAGACAAGAAAGTGATTTTTTCTTTTTCTTTTTAGCTGTTGTGTAGTGCTTTTAACTACTCAACTATTGACTTCCTCAGTCAGACATTTTGGTTCTCAGGCAACCACGGATGTGGAGGAACGAGGAATAAAACAATGCCCTCTTCCTGATGCCTTTAACGTCACTTTTCCTTTCAGGACTTCGGCCCAAGCCCGGAGAGTCGCTTGTCTTGGATCAACTTTCCGGTCTTGTTGTTATTAATATTTCACGATTATGTCACAAAGCCCTCTCTATTTATATTTAGTAAAATGGTTAGGACATCATCACAAAACCCTTCAAACAAATCAGGCTTACTATAAATACATTCTTGTGGCAGGAGTTTATCTTAAATGTCGAAGTTAAAATCTTTGCATATTTCATTGTTGTTGAGCCAGAAGCAACAGATTATGTTTGCAATATACATTTGGCAAAACAAAAAAAAACAGCCTTTATGTAACGTTCAGGGTCTATGTTGGAACATATAGTGAGACATATGTGGCAATAATCAGTTTGAATCAAATATTACTGGACTGTCAACTCTCTGGCCTTTTTTGCAGCAGCAGAAGCATCACATAACGTTACAATAACGTGTAAATTTTGTGTCTCTGGTTAAATGTTTGTTGACTTACCAACTGCCTCTTTTGTACCTGTAGTTCTGTCTTAGTTCTGCACAGAAGGACAAATAATCAGCAATAATCTCACTTGTTCCTCTCGAAATCCTGCTGGAGTCGTTTGTCACTTTCATAGTCTGTGTATAAGAAGCTGAGTGCAGATTGATTCCTGCCCTCTTACTTTAAAGCCCGAATTGAAAGGGAGGTTCTGCTTCTTTTGTGACCTGAAAGGAAAACAATCGGTGAGGGGGCCAAAAGTACCACCTGACTGCCAGCAGATGGCGCCATAACCTCTTAATTAAAGAAGATCTCGACCTTCAATTACTTGTCAGGGATTTGTTTTTCCTTTTTGCAAAGGTACGACTGATAACTCTGTATTTGTTTCCGTGTTTAGTCAATAGTTTATATCACAACTAGTACAATAATAGTTTATCAATCAATCAATCAATCAATCAATCAATCAATCAATCAATCAATCAATCAATCAATCAATCAATCAATCAATCAATCAAATTTTATTTGTATAGCACATTTCAGCAGCAAGGCATTTCAAAGTGCTTTACATAATTAAAATAAAAACAGCATGTAATAAACAGTGAGAAAGAGAGAGATTTTTTAAAAAAAGATAAAAACATAAACAGTGAGAAAGAGAAATAAAAAGAAATTAAAGATAGAGATTAAAAAACAAAACAAAGCAGATGGAACATCACTGATAATTCAGATAAAATTATCACACATGTTTTAAAAGCTTTATCATAGTTTATTGAATTTTATAGAACAAATACATAAGAATTAGAAGAAAAATACAAACAAACCAAAGTAGAACTGACAAATCTAACAATCACAAGGTGAAAAATAATTTCTAAAAGTATGCGGTTATCACTTACATTTCCTCACTGAGGGACAATAAAGAGTATTTCTATTCTATTCTTCAAAAATATCAAGCCAGCTGTTCAATTAGGCCACTAGAAACAGAAAAAGGATGTTTCAGTGGATAACAGGAAGGCTGAGAGCTTCACAGCAACGCTGCTCTGTTTCATCGTTTTCAGTTTTAAGCCTCTATCTGTCATTGCACATGCTGAATTTTAACATTAGTAATATTTTGAAACCCAGGATGGGAAAAAAGGATCTAAATTCTTGATAGAAAAGCTTTGTGTTTTTTTTTATTTAGAAAAACCCACAAAGGCTGCTGTTATCAGTGGCAAACAAAAAATTTTGCTAGTTATGCTACTTCCTGAAATAAGACAGCAAAAAATGCTCTCTCTTTAATTTGTACAGTAGTTTCTATGTTCAACTGTTTACTTTAAGGAAGTATGGTTATATGACACTTATTAATATAAAACACCAACAGGACATTGCTCAAGAGTTTTTTTTTTTTCATTTTATTGTGGACCTTCTCTTTCACATTCAAAATAAAAAAGTAGTTTGTATGAACTAGATAGTTCAGAACCACAGTTCGAGGAGTCATATAAAGCATACACAACATAATGTAGGTTTTAATTCAATTATTCATCAGATTTAAGCACATTTATGATGATTTGTCTCAACAAGTAAACTACTAAGCAACCAAGAGATTGAGTCGAATAAGTAGCTGGGTGAGAAATGAGAGCGGTGAAGTGTGAACTGAATTAAAGAGACATCAGATGAGACTAAAGTTACAGCGGGTGCTTCAAAGTTTAAAAAAAAAAAAAAAAAAATCTCCAGCTTGTCATAATAAGACATAGATTTGTTTAAAGCTTGAATGCAAGAAGCAACAAAAGTAAATAAGATTTTCATACACTGACCTTTGTAACATATTAAGATTTTTAAGTTGGAAAGTGATTACAAAAATACAAAGCAGTTATTAGTTATGATTATAAAATCAGAAGAGATAAATATGTGAGACCTGGAGGACAAAGACACTTTAGAGCTTCTTGTCATTAAACTGTGAAATGAAAATGTTTAAATTCAGGAACTAACTTATACCTCCAGACAAAGTAATTTCTCTCAATAAGTTATGATTTCTTTACTTGTGCATAAACATCCTCTGGCCTGTCAGCAGACACTTTGACCTGAGCGTACTCTGTCTCCTGCTGTCCTCTGTCCTGCACTGAGACACAGGAAGCTTCAGGTCTCCTCTGGAGGAACTTTATGTCTCCATAATGAACTTCTTCCTCTGGTTCATTGGACTGAACAGCAACCTCTTCATATATTTGATTCTGTGGGAAAACAACATTGTTCTTGTTTAGCAAGTGTTTCATAATTAACTTGAGGTGGAAAATAATTGCAGAGCTGCTGACCAAAGATGGAAACATCCTCGCCTGAGTCTGTGGCGAAGTTGGACGTTTGGACTTAAAGAACCTGGAAGACATTAAAGATCTGTCTGAATAATTCAGCTGATTTTCAGGAGACAAAACAAAGATTCAGACTGAGAGTCAAGACTGATCTGGGACAGACCTGAGAGGATTAAAACGTTTATGAAACCAGAACAATGTTCAGCTGCACACTTACTATGGAGAACTAGTTCTGTTATTGATCTGAAGGTTTAGTGAAACATCACTATGGTTACCTGAATTAAGCTTTATTATTTTAATGTTTGATACTTACCAAGCAGAAAGAACCAGGCAGACGAGCAAAATGACTCCAATTACAATCAGCACTAAGGAAGAAGATCCTTCTGTCAAAATGTAAAGATTAGTAAAAAGGTCAAAACTAATTTTATTTAAAATAATATATCAAATAAAAGATTCTGATCACCGTTAATTTCAAGAGGAACTTCTGATGATGTTTCTGTCCCTAGATCATTTGTAGCCACACAGTAAAACTCTCCTCCCTCAGTAGCATTTAATCCATAAACGTTCTCCACAGACACATTAATGGCTCCATCTTTGCTGTTCCTGAACCAGGTGAATCTGGGTGGAGGTTTGGCTCTGCTGGAGCAGCTCAGCTCCACCCAGCTACCTGCTGACACCAAACCTGATGGACTGATGGATGCTGAGGTGTTTCTAGGAGCATCTGAGGAAAATGAGACACATGAACTTTATTGATCACAAACAGCTGAACCATGACCTGCTGACAGGATCACTTACATGAAACACTGAGAGTCACTTCTGTCTCTGCTGTCTT